AGAGCACGGTGAGCCGAGATCGGCCACTGCACTCCAGCCTGGGCGACAGAGCGAGACTCCTTCTCACAAAAAAAAAAAAAAAAAAAAAAAAAAAAAAGAGCAAAAATTCATCTCCAAAGAAAAAAAAGGAAAAAAATAAAAAGAAAAATCGGCTGGGCGTGGTGGCCTCACTGCGTAATCCCAGCACTTTGGGAGGCCAAGGTGGGTGGATCACCTGAGGTCAGGAGTTCGAGACCAGCCTGACCAACATGGTGAAACCCTATCTCTACTAAAAATACAAAATTAACTGGGGCGTGGTGACACGCACCTGCTAATGCCAGCTACGCAGGAGAGCTGAGGCAGGAGAATTGCTTAAACTGGGGAGGTGGAGGTTGCAGTGAGCCAAGATCCCCACTGGCGTAGCCCTAGCAGCAGAAGTGAGGAACTCCATCACAAAAAAAAAAAAAAAAAAAAAAAAAAAAAAAATGGCCGGGCGCGGTAGCTCAAGCCTGTAATCCCAGCACTTTGGGAGGCCAGGGGCGGATCACGAGGTCAGGAGATCGAGACCATCCTGGCTACCACAGTGAAACCCCGTCTCTACTAAAAATACAAAAAACTAGCCGGGCGGGTGGGCGCCTGTAGTCCCAGCTACTCAGGAGGCTGAGGCAAGGAGGAATATAAACCCGGGGCGGAGGTTGCAGTGAGCTGAGATCAGCCACCACTCCAGTCTGGGCGACAGAGCGAGACTCCGTCTCAAAAAAAAAAAAAAAAAAAAAAAAAAAAAAAAATGGCCTGTATCCCAGCAGTTTGGGAGGTTGAGGTGGGGGGAATCACTTGAGTCCAGGAGTTCAAGACCAGCCTGGGCAACTTTAGTAGAGATCTCCCATCTCTTAAAAAAAAAAAGGAAAGAGAAAAAAAGAAAAAAAAAAAGAAAAAAAAAGATAACAGTTAGAAAACATCATAAAGTCGAAGGAGAAAGCCTGAGGGAGAGAGCACCACAGTCCTGGGAGGGCCACAGTCCTGCCTGGAAAAGAAAATTGGAGGTGCTTGCCGCCCTTCAGACTTTTCGGCCATTGGAAGAGTGGGGGCCCCCTCCGCCATCTAAGGAGTTCCCTTCTTAGTCAAGGCGGGAGGCCTGGTGCCAGGTACCCAGGACTTGTAGACTGGCCAAATCTTTACACCCTGCAGAGCAGGGGTCTCCAGCAGCTCCTGGCGTTCCCGAGCCCCGTCCAGTAGTAGAGACCCCCACCCGAAGCGAACAGGGAACCACCAGCCTCACAGTCCTCTGTTCCTCCCAGGAGGCCTGGGCCCACCCACTCCTGGGAGCACCTGGGGAGAAAGCAGAGACGGCTCCCTGCATCAGACCACGCTGGGCCTCCAGCTCCGTGCTCCAACATGGCCGTGGGCCCTGCGGTTTGCTAAGATCAGGGCTCATCGCTGTGGGCCCAGGCTCACGAGTGAGCAAGGGAGGCATAGGGTTCTATTTTGGACACAGAAGGATTGAAGGCCTGAGTGATCAAAGTGAAAACTTCAAAGAAGGAGCATCTAGTCTCGGCAGGAGTCAGCTGGGGCCTTGGCTCCAGGAGTCTCGGCCCAGGAGCAGTTCAAGCTGTGGTAACAATGGCTCAGTTCTCATCTCTACCTGGCTGTTTCCATTTCACAGCGGAGGCTTTTCAAGGCTAGGTACCTCCTGGAGGGCAGGCATGGGTGAGCCAGGACTGAAGTCAGGGCAGCTTCCCGAGGCAGGGCAGGTCCCTTCCGCTCACACTGGAAGCGTCACCTCCAGGCTGGTAGAGAAAGGCCAGGTGCGGGCAAATCTGCCCTCCAGCTCCACAACACATAGTGATTGCTACACTGAGAGCCTCCCCCACCAGCCTGAGCCACCAAGTCTGAAGAAGAGCAGAGAGCCATGGTCCAGAGAGAACAGGGTGGGGAGGGACAGAGAGAGAGACAAAGGAGCAAGACAGAGAGACAGAAAGACACAGAGAGAGAAGGACAGAGAGATGGAGAGAGACAGAGAGAGACAGATGGAAGGCAGAGAGGCAGGGCAGAGAGATGGGGCAGAGAGGCAGAGGTAGGAGAGAGACAGAGAGAGGCAGAGAGGAACAGAGACAGAACAGAAGACAGAAAAAGACACAGAGAGAGGACAGAAGAGATGGGGAGACAGAGAGAGGCAGAGAGAGACAGAGACAGATGGAAGACGGAGGCAGAGAGACAGAAAGAGACAGAGAGAGAGGGAGAGATGGGGAAGGCAGAGAGAGAGGGACAGGAGAGACGAGGAGAGCGACAGAGACAGACACAGAGAGAGCAGAGAGAAAGACAGAGATGGAAACGAGGCAGAGAGAGATAAAGACAGAGATGGAAGGAGATGGGGAGCAGGGAGACACAGAGATAGGGACAGAGAGAGATGGAGAGAGCCAGAGACAGAAAACACAGAGAGAGAAGAGCCAGAGACAGAGAAGATAGAACAAGAGATACACGGGAAGACAGAAATAGAGAAAGGAAAGGGAGAGAGAATGGAGAACCACAAAGGAGGAGGCTGCCAGGTGGAGCAGAAGAAGGAGCAGCTGGGTAGGACTGGAAGGTGCGCCACCCGATCTCCAGGTGCACACCAGGTCAGAGGAGGGGTTGGGGAGTCCCCATGCCTCTGGGAGATAATAGAACCAGCTGGGAAGGTGGCCAGCTAGGGAACGAGCAGTCCGTGCAAGTGATCACAAGCTCAGATGCAGACACCCCCACCCCAGCAGGAACCGCCTGCTCCCAGGCCAAGGCTTATCCCTGGGCCCCACAGGCTGCTCCAGGCCACCTCTGCAAATGCTCAGCTGTACTCCTCAGCTGGACTCCAGGCCTCTGAGAAACTCCCGGAACTGACAGGACAGGCCTGTGGCTGTAGCCAGTGTGAGCCTAAGCTCACAAACAAGCCCAGAATCCTGCAGCAGGCCAGGGGAGCCTCCGAAACTTTGAGAAATGATCCCCAAGGAGCCATGCTGCCCCAGCTCCCTGGACTCTGCCTTTGCTGGCAGAAGACATGGCAACACCCTTGCCAGTGGCAGGGAGCAGAAGGAAGGTGGCTGGAGACAGGAAGCCCCCTACTCCCGCCAGGCTGTCTAGACACATCGCTGCACACCCCTCTGGGGATGAGTCACTCCTCAGAGCTGGGCTCCGCCCCCTCCTGTTTTTGCTTCCTCAGGGTCACCGCTGGCTGCAGGTGCCTCAAGGACAGCCTGGAAGAGGCTGTGGGGGAGGAGGTGGCATTTGGCACAGGATACACACAGGAGCCCCAGGCTGTACTCTGTCACCGTTCCCACCCAGCTCTAGCTCTGCACAGGGAGGTCCAGACAGGGTGGGGAGCCCCTCTGGAGGCCAACTAATCGTGGCCATCACAGCTCAAGTGGGTAGCCATGGGAATGGAGTTATTTTCTGGCCCAGCGGGAGGTACTGCCTCCTCCATCCCCACGCCAACAGCCTTCAGCCCACGACAAGGCGCAGAGACAAGCACTGGGCACCCTGCCTGTCCTGGCCCCACAGGAAATGCTAAGGCAGTGTGCCGCACACGCTGCAGCCGCCAAGCACGCCACGGGAGCCAATGCCACACCGGGCCAGAGGAGAGGTTTAGGACAGCCACAGCCAGCTACCCAAGGGTCTAGGGCAGCTGGGGGAGAAGGGGAATCCACCTTTTTCTTCCCTCCCACCTCCCAAATAACACACAGACAGCACTGTTGATCTGAGGATGGACATTTAGACATTGGCGCCAGGTTGCAGCCTGACCCAGGCGCCACGCAGAGTGGGTGGGGCAAAGACACGAGTGGGCTGCAGTGTCATGGGGCACCAGCCAGGAGCCTGGGGTGGCTGGGGGTGAAGGTGGGTGTTTGGCCAGTGACCAGGGAGTCAAGGTCAAGTCAGAGGTCAGTGCCAGGGCTCCAGGAGGAGGAGCAGTCTCCATACCCCTCCTGGTGTCCAATGTCACCAGGCAGCCATCACAGAAAGCAACCTTAGCCCGGGGCGGGTCTGCAGCGGAGTAGGCAGGGTCAGCTTTTCTTCCATAGTGGGTAGCATTGCCGGGCAGATCTGGCTCTGGACCCCTGGGCATGCAAAACTAGGGGTGGTGCTGTCAGTCACACCGTCGCTGCTAAGGTCCCCTGGGTTGGCTGAGGCTTGGGATTCAGGCCGCGGTGGAAGGTCGGACTGCTCAAGGCTGGTATCTAAGCTTCTGCCCTGGGACCCAGTGGTGATGGCCACCATCCGCCCCCATTTCACAGAAGTCTAGTCAGAGGCCGCACACACAAAGTGCCGGCCTGGAGAACCACCAGCCGCCCGGGTCTGAGAACACTCACCCTGGCCGCTAGGCCCGGAGCCTGCCATCTCATGGCTCGGCTGGTCAACACCTAAGCGGTACAGAGCGCTGCAGGCCCTCACCTCATGCTTCTGCAGCGCTTGAAGAGGTGAGTGTCTCAAGGGGCCGCTAGCCAGGTGCATGGAGAGGCAGAAGCCAATGTTGAACCCAGGCCCCCTGGACAGCAGGGTATTGGCTCTATAAAGAAGTCAGGCAGGGCCCAAGGCCTGAAATAACCTAAGCCCAGTAGGAGTAGGCGGGGAGGACAGGCTTGGAGAGAGCTGCGTCCCAGGCCTGCAGAAGCACAGTGGCCCTAGCAAGGGGCGGCGGTCTGTCTGGGACAATTTGGCACAGGATGGAGGTGCGGGGTGATCCGGAGTGCCCCGGCGCTCTTGCTGGAGGAGCTCCATGCCCTGGTCGCCTCCATGAGCCTGTGGTGGCCCAAGGGAGGAGCCCACCAGATGCGGCGGCACAGCAGCGCAGGCCCGAGGCCAATCAGAGCAGAGTCTGGGAGTCTGACGCCCGGCTGGGAAGGGGCGTGTGGCGATGCCAAGGTGCCGAGCCGTCGCCCAGCCGTCCTCCTCATGAGGATCTTAAGGAAGCAGCAGGAATGAGAGAGAGAAAGCCGGGGCGGAGGACCTGGGAGCTCGGGCCCTCGGGCAGGCGGCGCCCAGGTGGGCTGGCGGCTTCAGCACAGGGAGTGTCTGCGCAGGCGGGCGCGCGAGGGAGCCGGGCGCATAGGAGTTCACCGGTGATGTAGGCCACCAGCAGGCAGATGACCACCAGCATAGCGCCCAGATGGAGCCGCCCCACCGCGTCATAGCCACGATATCCCTGCATGCAGCCCGGCTCAGTGAACTCCACGCACTCGCCCGGGCTCGGGGACTCCTGGCGCGGTAGCGGCGGGCCCCATGGCGCAGCGGCGGCTGCGAGCACAGGCGCAGTAGAAAGGGCGCTGCGTCGTACGTCAGGCAGCCGGGTAGTCGCGGCAGGAGGCCCGAGGGCAACGGCGCTACTTTTAGGAGAAACGCGTGTGGCGCCGCACCCACTGACAGTTGAGCGCGAAAGCGCCCACCGCCCGGCGCCAGCGCGCGGCGGCAGGAGCCAGGCGCCACTGCAGGGGAGGACGCTGCGGTTGCGCAGGACGCTGGCGCGCAGGCTGCGGCCAGGGCGTGCAGCGCGCAGGCGGAGCCTGGCAGCGGAAGCCGCGCGCGGGGCTGCGGGAAGCACAGGCGCCCGCCGCCCGCCTCAGGAGCCCTCGGGCAGCGCAGCAAGGCACCAGGGCGCGTCGGGGAGCCGGCTCCCAGCCTGGCGGCGCGTCAGGCAGCCGCGGCGCAGGGCGGCGGCGCAGGCGGCCAGCAACAACAGCAGCGGCAGGAGCGCGCATCTGCGGCTGGGCCAGGCGCAGCGAGGCCGGGGCGCAGCGCGCTGGTGCGCAGGCCGCGCCGCCTCGTCCGCTGCCCGCTCCCGCGATCCCCGGCGCGCCGCGCCCTCCGCGGCCGCCCGCTCGACCCGCCCCGCGCCCGTGCGCGCCCTCGAGACCAGCGCAGCAGCGGAGGCGGGACCTGCCCTCGCCCCGCCCCTCTTAACCCTCGCCGGGCCCGGCTGCGCGGGCAGGATCGAGGCGGACGGGGAAGGAAAGGAGGCAGTAAGGCGGCCGAAGTGCAGGTAGAGCTGGGGTGCGTGCAGGGGGGCGCGGGAGTGCAGGCAGGGAGCCGGGTGCGGGCAGGGCCGCCTCTCCCGGCTTCCGCCCTGAGTAGCGCTTTTGGACCCTCGGCCTCCCCGCGATCCCCGGCGCGCCGCGCCCTCCGCGGCCGCCCGCTCCGACCCGCCCCCGCGCCCCGTGCGCGCTCGGACCCGGCGCGGCGGCGGAGGCGGGGCCGCCCCTCGCCCCGCCCCTCTTAACCCTCGCCGGGCCGCGGCCTGCGGGTGCAGGGGATCCGGGGCGGACGGGGGGAGGAGGGGGAGGCAGTAAGGCGGCCGAAGTGCAGGTGGGGCTGGGGTGCGTGCAGGGGCGCGGGGTGCGGGCAGGGGCCCGGGTGCGGGCAGGGCCGCCTCTCCCCCGGCTTCCCGCCTAGTGAGCGCACCTTGGACCCCTGCGGCTTTTCCGAGCCGAAACTCAGGGGCTGTGGCCGGCTTCGTTTCGTGTCGTGCAGCTCCGCGACCGCCCGTGGCCACACCATTCGGGGACTTCGTGCTTTACGATGGGGGCGCAGTGGCCTGGCACACGCAGGACCCCGGGCCTCGCACCCTCGCGCTAGCCGCCCTGGACCCGCGGCGGGGACCCGCACAGTCAGGGTACCTGCCCATACCGATGGGGTGGGGACCACCACGGAGCCTTTCCTTGGCCCCGCGGCTTTTGTTCCTTTCGAGACGGACAGCGCCCACCCGGAGGAAAGCCTGACAGACGAGACTTCGCAAGGTGAGAACTCCCTTCGCTCCGCACGCGGCTGCAGGGCGCCGACCTTCTCAGCCTCATCGCCCCACCTCTCCCGCCAGATGCGCTCTGGGGGGCCCTCCCGGTGGTTGCAGGGAGGTCAGGGCTGGACAAAGGGAATCCAAGAAGCCCGCCCGGTGGCACCGATGGGGAGGGGAAGGCGGGACGCACCCCAAGACCCCGGCCCCTTAATCCCATCCCTGCATAGATCACCCAGCAACCAGGACACTCCTCCAGGGCCAGGGCTATAGCCAGGGACTGTATGCAGACATGGCTGGGTCTGGCCGGCCTGCCCTAACTGGAAAGGAGGCCAAGCCGTGCACCTAAGGCTGGGCTGGCACCTCCGCTGAGCCAGCTCTGGGTGTGCAGGGGTGGGGAGGGGTCTCTGGCAACTGGACCCTGAGCTCCTGCAACCCGTTTCTGTGCTCCTCTTGCCTGGGGGGAGAGCGAGGAGAGACTGGCTCTTCTGCTCCTGACCCCTGGATGGCCATGTCCCCGCCCCCCAAGGAGTCCCCACCCAGCCTCACGAACTCCTGGTCATCTTGAAAAACCCAGGGTAGTGGTCAGGCCCCCACAGGATCTCAGAGGCTCAGCCAGAGCCCAGGCCCAGCGGTCAGGCCTCCACCAGCTGCAGTCACGGTGCACCTCTGTCCCCAGCATGGAGGGCCCTGACCGCCTACACCACTTTCTCCAACCTGTTGGGCCCCTGGCAGGATCTGCTGAGGCCTCTGCGCCTGGCACAGAGAGGTTGGGGGCAGAGACCTTGGGAGAGGCGCTTCCTGCCCCCCGCCCCCAGCTCCCACCTCTGCTTAGGAAGGGCAGACCCTGGGCTCTGACTCTTGCCCCAGCGTTGTGAGGCGACTCAGGGGCTGGGCCAGCAAAGCAGAGAGTGATGGTGACTCAGGGGACCCCCATGTCCTTGCCCAGAACTCCTCAGGGGTTCAGCCGGTCTACTGCACCAGTTTTCAGTGGAAGCCCCTTGTGAGGGTATGGGCAGTGGGGCAGGGCAGGAGCCTGGATGACGGTGTATGGGGTGGGGGGCCCCTAACTACCTTGGCATGTTGGCCTGAGGACAGCTGGGGCCTTCACCCTGTGCTGTGACCATTCCAGCTTCGTGTTGCAGCACCTCCATTTCCCTCTGGACAGCCCCCTTTATCCATCCTCAGGTCATGGGGAGCTTGGGTGGGGCTGACACACCCCTGCCTAGGAGTTGGCAGGTGACCTGGGCCCAGCAAGCCAGACTGGACCCCTTAGTCTCAAGGCCTTTTCTGAAGCTCTTGTGAAAGGGGCGACTGCCCCTGACAGGTGTTGGATTCCAGCTGCTGTGGCCCTGAAGGTTGGTGGTGGGAAGAACGGGAGAATGAAGCCAGCCTTGGGAGAGGCAGGACGCCGGCCTGGCCCAGCTGCTTCCAGCATCTGGATCCAGCCTCACCTGAAGCCAGCTACCTCCTGGACTGCAAAGTCATTGTCAACACCAAAACAGGGTTTCTGACCATTGCAACCGAGGGTCCCGGGATGTCGTGGCTGCAGACCCTGCAGACCTTATGAAGCTAGTCCTGTCCGATTTGCATCAGACCTCTAGCCAGGGACTGTAGTTGCAGACTTAGTCCTGGGACTGGGCTCCTAGTGAGAGGCCAGCAGCGAGGGAAGAGGGACCAGCAGAGAAAAGGGTGGAGCCTCGGGCGGCCAGCAGAGCAGCAGAAACCGAGTCTGTGAGAGGAAAACATTGCTTCCCGCAGCCTCCTGCTGAGCTATGGGGACCTGGGTATTGCGAAGAACAGCTGGGGCCAACCCTAAGGAAGGAAGGAGGGAAGGGGACAGGGAGGGGCGAGGAGGAGGGGGAGGGAGTGACCTCTGCTTAGCGCCTGCACTTGGGCAGCGGTGGCCTTTCACACGCACAGGCTTCCCCGCCTGCAGCACCGTCTCCAATGCTGTTTGTACACACACTAGCATCCTGATAGTCACTAAATGTTTTCTTTAAATGAGTTCACTTTTTCACTTAGAGTGCTTTCTAAAAGCAGATCATGATCGCGAATAGTAAGTATCACTTCCATAAATAGAAGGTGTCAGAAAAATAACTATCAGACGTTCTTGGTTTCTTGTCGTGCGTGGAAGCATCAGATGGTCTCTGAAAGGCTGTCCCTCTGCTCCCCAGGTTGGCCCGTCCTCTGCCGCAGCTTGAGCCCCACCCAGGGGGTCCCTGCTTGAGGAAGTGCTTCCTGTTCTCTCAGACCCTACTTCTGCCCCCAGAGGGGTGTCTGTCCAGGGGACCCCTCAGAGGTCCCACCCAGCCACTCCTGATCTCCTCCCCACACAGGTGACTGGGCCACGGGGCTCGTGGGCAGCCCTGGCCGGGGCTCAGTCCTCACTGTAGCAGGGAAGCTGCTGGCCCTCTCGGCAGGCCGCCCTCTGGGAACCCCTCTTCTTTCCAACTGCCCCAGCTCCAGGATGGGCTGAACATGCTTTTGCCTGGCAAGGGAAGGCTGGACCAGTAACAATGGAAGTCTCCAGCAACACTGGAGACATGGGGGTAGGGGAGCTTCTGGACGAGGTGTCCTCCTGGCCATGGCCTTGAGGGAGCCTTGTGGCTTGCACGGGGCCTGCTGGGACTTGAGCATGTGGGTCCCTGGGGACCTGGGGAATGGCTTCGATGCTTAGGAGCTGTGAGAACGAGAGCTCCAGGGCAGCAACCACCCGCTTCTCATGGCCCCCATGACCCTCAGCCCCTTTACGCTGGGAGCTGAGTGCCAGTTTCCGCATCCTGGCACACACTTCTCCTTTAGGGCTCCCAGGAGCCACCCTTCCCTGCCCCTGTGGGTCTCCTGTTTCTCCAGCAGCAGTGACTGCTTTCTCTTCCAGAAATGTGTGCCCCTGTGAGCCCTTCACAACCTCTGGTCATGCCTCCAAAATTCCAGGGAGGGGACAGAGCCCCTGGTGGAGAGGCGGGTGCCCCCCCAGAGGAGGACAGAGCCCCTGTGGAGAGGCGGAGTGCCCCCAGGAGGGGACAAGAGCCCTGGTGGAGAAGCAAGTGCCCCCAACCCCCCAGGGAGGGGACAGAGCCCCTGGTGGAGAGGCAAGTGCCCCCCCAACACTGCTCTGCTGCTGCCAGGGAGGAGTGACCTTCCGTGGATACCCCATTCTCACCAGATCCTGGGCTCGGAGCCTGGGCCAAATGCTGACCTCAGTGGGATCCAGACCTGAAAGTCCCTCTCTGGGGTGACTTTCTCAAGTGCTGTCCTCAGACTCCCTGGGCTCTCGCAGGATGGCGGGCCCAGTCCCTGCATGTGCCTCAGCCCAAACACTGAAGCAGATGGCACCGTGGCCCAGGCATCTCTGTGGCCGGAGCTGGGGGAGGAGGTGGCCTCCTGGGTCCTATCCCAAGAGCATCCGCAGCGGTGTTGCCAGTGAAGGGGTGGAGCTGAGGGACCCCACAGACCCCAGGGCTTGGTGGCTGCAAGAGCTGGGAGGAGCCTCATCCTCCAGGGGCTTCAGGGAGGGTGGAGAGGACCCTGTCCCAGCAGCTGTCCGTTTCCTGCAGTGCTGGCTGCTTGTTACAGTGAGACTAACAGGTAACCCACAGCTGAGCTTGTGCTTGCCAGAGCCTTCGTCCAAGTAACCCCCGATCCTTTGGGCCTTTCTTTTTTTTTTTTGCTTCTTTTCTTTGCCTTTTTTTTTTTTTTTTTTTTTGTAGAGACAGAGTCTCCTGTGTTGCCCAGGCTGGTCGCACACTCCTGGCCTCAAGTGATTTTCCTGCCTTGGCCTTCCAAAGTGCTGGGATTACAGGCATGAGCCTGGCCTGTAGCATTTTGAAGCATGTCTCTAGGGCAGGTGGTCAGCAGACTGGAAGCCACGGCCCCACCACCCAGGCCTCTGTTTTCTCCCTGGTAGAGCAGGGATGGAGCAGCCCTGGCTCCAGGGTCCCCCTGAGGAAGCCCAGCCCACTCAGTTCTGAGCAATG